GGAATCATTGTATGAAACACAATATGAATGAAGAATAGCGTGAAACATAATGTATACAAACCTTGTAAGCAAACCAATGTATTTTTTTTCAAAAAAGAATATTAAAAAAAAGATAATTCATCAATCCATACTGGTACTAAGAAATAAATGTAGGTAAAGTAGGGAAAGAATAAGAAATTCTTATTGCTGTTGTTGAGTACCGTAGAGTCAGAATCGACCCAGAGCTGACCTTCTCTGGGGTTTTCAGAGGCAGTTAATTGCATGAGAAGAGATTGCCCATCCTTCTCCTGCAGAACAACTGGTGGCCTTGAACTGCGTGCCTTTGAGATTGCAGCACAGCCTCTTGCCACTAGGCTACCAAAGCCAAAAAAAATGTAGACAGAAATAGAAACTATCAAGTCTTAAACCATTACAGGAAGGTCTGATTCAACCAAGATTCATCAGTGGATGCTAAAACCATTGAGTAAACTATTGCTGAGGGACAGGATATGAAGAAAACTAATGTACACCATCTTAACCAAATAATCAGACTTACTTATTGCTGTCAAGTAGGAACCAATTCATAGCTGACCCTTAAGTGGGTTTTCAGAGTCTGTAAATCACAGGCAGAGTTAGGGGGAGACTGCTCATTTTTCTCCATTAGATAAGCTGGTCGATTGGTTCATCTCTGAGTTGGCAGCACAACTCCCTACCCATTAAGCCACCAGAGAATCATCATTATTACAAAGGAACAAATTGGTATCAACAGCTTTCTAACATGATGCACTTGAGGGTACAACCCCATTTAAGTGCTATTCCTGCCAGAAAAATGTAGCCTGAATATATTGGGGGGGAAATAGACAAACCTGAAGTAAGGTACTTTCTGGAAAACAATAGGCCTAGACTTCTAAAATATCGATGTTAAAAAAGAGTAAATAAAAGGTTGATAAATTGTTGTAGATTAAATGCATTATATGATCTTTGATGGATTATGGTTAAATAAAACCAGTATTCGAATAACTGAAGGAATTTGGGTATGATCTGTATATGAGCTAATAGTACTGCATTACTTCCATCTTCCTGAATGTGATAATTATATTGTAGTTATGTAGGAGAGTCCCCTTGTTCTCAAGAGACACATACTGAAGTAATTAGTGCGAAGTGTAGTGATATCTCCAATTATCTTTCAGATGATTCAGGCGAAAAGAGGAAGTTTAAACAAATGTTCATGATTGGTGAAGCTAGGGAAAAGCATATGGGTATTCACTGTATTATTCTTGCCATTTTTCGGCAAGTTTGCAACTTTTCAAAATAAAAGTGTGGGCAGGGTTTATATCACAAATGTGTCTACAACTAAAAATTTTAAAGCCTCAATGCACGACTCGTTATTTCAAGCCTTCCAGTACATTTAGAAAAAGAATTATCAGCACTGACTTAGCAAAAGACAGAAACCAGAAAATGTAACAGATTTGACTATGGAAAAAAGAAAGAAAAGAAAACTTCTCTACATTAAAAAGATATAAATAGCCCTCAGGAATGGGAACTAGTATTTGTTCTTTTCCAAGACACTCCAGCTGCTTCATAGGAAGCATTTAATCCCATTCAAGGACTCGGCCTACCTTGACAGACAAAAATTTCACTCATTCCTCGTGTGTTAAGTGCTACTTACCCTCCCAAAACAACCTGTTCTCAATAACAACTTCCTACGTCGATATCAGGCTTAAACTCACTTGCCACTGATTTAATCTGTGTTTTCAAGATAATTGATTGAATTTTTAGCCTTTTAAAACTAGCATCTCTCTATTATTTCCCAGGAGAAAACATTCCATAAACCTCAAATGTGAGGGGAGCCGACACTACTTGGGGCTACTCCCAGAAGGCATAGCTGCCTTCTTCAGACACCCCGTGAAGGCTACACTTCCTACAACAGAAGTCACATGACTGAACAAAGGTCATCCAAAGCATTTCTCTGATCCTACCAGGAGCCATGAATGGCACAACTTCTCCTCAGGAAGCCCAAGAAATTATGCTAACCTGATTCATTGAAGTTATCACGGACAATATCAAAGCCCTTCATTTCCTCTGTGCCAGGATCACTATAAGTCAACTCAGCAGCATCTAACAAAAGTAAAAAATGAGTTTTTATTTATAGCAAATATTTATAACTGCACCTATTTAAATATTCCAGGGCATGTAGGATTAGTCTAAAAAGAAACAAAAGTTATCTGATCTCAAAAGCAGATCCAGCTAGATTTTGGGACATTCTTTCTTTACCTAGGTTTTATCACCTAAATCCTTAAGACCTGTCAAAAATACCAGTAATTATTGTGTAAGACAGCTCTGGTGGCCTACTGGTAGGGAATTGTGCTGCCAACCCAAAGGCAGGCAGTTCAAATCCACCAGCCCCTCCTCCAGAAAAAGATGAGCAATCTCTTCTCATGATATTTATAGTCTCTGAAAACCTACTGGAAGGTCAGCTATGAATTGGTTCCAACTCAATGGCATATAATGACAATAATAATGACTGTATTTTTGTTAGCAGCAGTTGGCTAATATATCCTATCAATATTCTGAAATGCTCCATCACAGTCATTGTCCTATCAAATTATTAGTTTAGATTAACATAACATTCAATGGCTGGATAGGATGGGTTCATATTTTGTGGCCTAACTTTATCTTTGCTTGTTAAAAGATCAAGAAAGAGAAAAGCAAACCTTGGCATGTAGGAACTGGCATAACATTCACATCTAAACCATGATATTTTCCTGTTGGAAACAACTTCAAAGAAAGACAAATATCTGACAGGCTCATGCTCTGACTGTGATAAAGTGACTCATAAAAAACAAGACCAACACCCTGTGGTCACAATGAAAACTACAAAGTATCTTCATTTCACAGATAATACAAGTGATTGCTGCTGCTTTACAAATCTCAGTTTAGGGTTTGTGGTTGTGCACCACTGAGTCAGAACTGAGTCACAGCTGACCCGCCAGCAGGTTTTCAGAGGCAGTAAACCATAGTGGAGGAGACTGCCCATCTTTCTTCCACTGAGCTGCTGGTGGATTCAAACCGCCTGCCTTTGACTTGGCAGCACAGCTCCTACCCACTAGGCTACCTCTTTATTAATAAAATTTATTTATCTACCCAACCATGGATTGCTACCTAGTAGCGTCCAATCCAAAGCAAAGCTCTACAACTTTGAACTCTGCCAAATCACTCCCTGCAAGCCTAAATCCACAACAACTCAACTCATCGCCGTTGATTCTGAACCAACTCACCACTTACCCTCCATCACATCTCTGAGGTTGTAAATCGCCTTTCTTCCCCCAGAGCTATTGCATTCAAACCGCCAGAGAGGCATGGCCTTTGAGTTAGCTGGGTAACTCCCTATGAACTATATCACAGAGTCCCCCACAAAAAACTTGAAACCCATAAAACACCAAACCCACTGCCATAAAGTCAATCCAACTCACAGGGACCTTCCCTTGGGTTCCCAAGGTCATACTATTTAAAGGAAGGAGACTGCCCCTCTGTTTCCCCCAGAGCAGCTGGTAGATTTGAACCACTGACTCCAGGGCAGCTGGTAGATTTTTACCCCTTTTGCTCAGCAGCACAACATGCTACATCGTATGCTGTCAGTTCCCTTAAATCTTTGAAATATTTTCAGTATCTTCTGCTTCAAGCTGTTTCAGGACTCCCCAGAATAGCTACTCTCCTCTCCCTTTATACAACAAGCAATAAATTCAACTTTGTTGAGATAAAAATTAAATCTAAAAATTAAAATTTTTAAAAATAATTTGATAAGTTTGGATTTTAAAAGGCAAAGGGAGAATATATGCTTATGTATTATATATATGAGAGCAATCTGGAACAAGGGATGCATTGCAGGGTGGGTTAGGGGAGGGGGAGGGAAGGGAGGAGAAAATGTACAACAAAGAATAAATAAAAGGAGGGGGAAAGGCAAAGGGGAAACACCCCAAAATAAAACTACAAAACAGTAAGAAAAAGGTAAATACTCAAAATAAAAATGAGGGGCAAATATGAAGAAGCAGTACCTGAAAGGAACAATTCAGTGGTTAGTACATAGTTTGTTTTTTTTCTTTTCCAGTACATATCTTTAAGTAGTAAATCTCATAGTAATTCAAGAAATAGACATCCAAACAACACTGAAATGTCTTGTTGTTTTTCACTTTACTGACTGCTGCTGCTGTTATGTGCCTTCAAGTCACCTACAACTCATAGCGACCCTATGTACAACACCTCTGAAGCCTGCCCTGTCCTGAGCCAGTATCATTGTCTCTGACACACCTACTCCCATTGCCCCAGTTACTGTATCAATCCACCTCATCCAGGGTCTTCCTCTCTTGGCCTGTCCCTCCACTTTCTGAGCATGATGTCCTTCTCCAAGGACCAGTCCCTCCTGGCCACATGCCCTAAGTATGTGAGACAGAGCTTCAAAACCCTAGCCTATAAGAAGAGACTTGATTTCACCTGCTCCAAGACACACCACAACAACACTTACTGACTAGCAAAGATTAAAAGAGCAATGTCACCAGTGTTAATGAAGGTATATGAAATAGTTTAATGGTTTGCTGTTTTACAAACTTCTTTGAAGGGCATTATAGATTGAATCATGCCCCCTCAAAATGAGCTGGAATTCTACTCTTCTCTGTGGATGTAATCTAATGTAAAGTAATCCATCAGTTGAGACCCCAGTGTATGCAGAATTTGCTCAGCTTGGTTTGTGGAAGGAAGTTCTGGAGACGTAGGCTCTATGGATCTGTGCTGCTAACACAAAGGCCGTGCCTCTCAAACAGGTCGGATCCACCAGCAACACCATGGGAGAAGGAAGGGCCATCTCCTCCTGCGTGATTTGTAGCCTCAGATACCCAGTGGAGGGCCAGCTACGAGTTCATTCTGACTCTCTGGCAATGAAAGAGAGGCAGTTTTGTGGAGGCTCACCCTACAGCCTCTGTCCTTATAACCCCTTGTTGCAGATGTGACCTTCTCACTTCCAGTACCTGGATGAATCTTCCTTCATATTCAAAGAAGAGCAGTGGCCATGTGATGCTGATGATAGTGGGAAAGAGCTTCTTCAGAAGGGTCTAATGAGAAGGAGAGAGATACAGAAGAGGCATCTGTAGGAAGGCCTTGCTGTGACTGTCACCCCAGTCCCTCTCCCCAAGGCTGGACCCTCATCGGCAAAGACTGTCCCACAGTACTGTGTGCTAAGGCCTGGACATTGGCTTTCTTCTCTTTCACCTGCTCCACCAGTGTCTGCACCTCTGTGAGGTTGTCTAAGAAAAAGAGAGCGCATCAGAGGGTCCAGCTACTGAGCTAAGTTTCCATTTCTCATCTAATCGGGACACTCGCTCTGTCTTTTGCAGCTGTCCTAAAATCCAGAAAAACTATAACTCCTACTTTCACCGCCCTACTCACCCTACTGTTTCCAAACTTCCCTCTCACCACCCAGTGTGAATATGAAGATCACAGTGTCAACTTCCGTGAGGGACGCCAGGACGGACGTCAGGAAGTCCTCCTGGGAGAAGGAAAAGTGAGGACCTTAGAGCAGAAGAATATGAGAGTTCCTTCCACAACAAAACATCAGATAGACCAGCAGACTGGAGATGACCTGCAAGGACATCTCACACACAGCCCTCTCATGTACAAATGTAGAAAAATGAGGTCCAAAGAGATGAAGCATTTTGCTCAAGATGCTGCAGCAAGTCTGTGTAAGAGCTGTGGATCCCAGTCAGGTGTTGCGAGTAACTTGCCCCTCTCCAGCCTGCCCTGAAGCCTCCTGACCTCTAACTCCAGACTATCCCATCACACTCCCACACTCGCTGCACCTCCCCTTTCTCCTAACCCGCTTCACACCAGTGACCTTCACTATTTCCCCAAGTCCTGTTCTCTTCCAACCTGATCGATGAGCTCAGCCTTCTGGTTAAACATCTCACTGTGATCGCTGATAAGAAAGCCACGGAAGTCTCAGAAATCTAGGAAGTTTAAGGATAGGAAGAAAATGGTGGATTTTTGTAGAAAAGGAAAAGTCCTACGCTTATTGAGCTCCTTGATCAAGAGCTCTAAAGAGAAAGACAGGCGTCTCTGGATACAGGGAAATTTAGGGGGGAACAGGATGAGAAGCAAAACAGAGGAGAGGTTGTAGGAAACACAGGAGTGGGAGCTAAGGGAAGCAGGACTGATTTGGGGTCAAGTAGGCATTGGGCTGAAATGCCTCTTTGGCAAGGGAACAGGGATACTGAATGAGGAAACTTCATGTATCGGGAGTAAAGAAGTGTTTAGACAACGGATCCGTTTTTATCATGTGGAATCAAGAAGAAAGGCTGGAGAGGGTCCTACCAGCACCAAAGGTGCGGATGCATTCTACTCCATCCATGATGGCGATTGATGCCAAGGGTCTGCCAGCCAACCAGGTGCACCCGGCCGTTCTTCTCCAGGCTGAGGACGGGCCAGCAGGCAGGACGTGAGAGGCAGGATCACAGAGGAAAGAGGTCAGAGATCAGAGAAAAGTACAGGGCTATAAAATTTAACTGTGTTCACCAGGAACCTCTAACACGCTGACACTGCCCATTGCCATGCCTCAGAGAATCTCCCCTGCCCCCAGGAAGCTCCCTATCTGGTCACCTTTCCCCTCCAAACACCCGTGCACACACCTGGTGCTGGCTTGCTTCATCAGGGCTGCGATCTTGGGACTTTGGTTGTAAGTCACCTGATGAGCCTGTTCAAATGTCCTCAAGATTTCCAGGAGGCATCCGAGAGAACAGCCTTTAGTTTTTAGGGAAGGCTCAGTAGTCTTCAGTAGACACCTGAGTACCTCCCCTCAGGGAGGAGAGGAAGCACGATTCCCTTAACATGAGATCTTACTAGTCCCTGATGGAGACACAGCAGGCTGTGGTCAGGAGGGGCAGACTGTAAAAACACAAAGAAAAGCATCAGAGGAGAAAGGAAGCTCGGAATTCTGATCTCAAGATCATGAAGCATTTGAAAGCTAATCTAGTATTAGACTAGAGACCCTGGGGAGGGCAGCAGACCTAGAACAGGCTCAGCTTATCCCTGCAAGATCATCCTCACATCAAAGGATGCTCTGAAGCTAGATGAGTTTGGATGTCTTACACTGTCTGGGACTCCAGCTCCATTGGAAACAAAGCGGACTGGCCACGTAGAGGGACAGCACTGTTTGTATGCCTGTTCCTTTTCCAGAGAAGTGGTAGTCCCTCCATCTTTCTACTCCCAACCTCTTCTCTAGATCTGAACCTCTCATGCCCCCACTGACACCATCCCTCCCTCTCTCCAATGAGATGCAGCTCGGCCCTAGCTTTCAAGCCCCCACCTCACTGACCTTTCTCTCATCCACATCTCCTTACCTCTGAGAGGCTGCGATGCCCCGGTCCATGGTCTTGTGGGTTGCCAGCAACAAGGTTTCCAGCAGGATCTTGGTGGCACTTCCACCTTTCATCCGGGAGGAGCCGCTGAGGCCCTCAGGCTGGGGAGGCAAAGACATCCGGGAGATATGGGAGAGGAAGGAGGATGAAAAGGCTGCTGGTTAGTAACCAATGAACATGCAGTGTGCCCCCCCAAACCCTCGTGTGCTGTGAGGAGGCATGCAAGGGTGAGGGCTTCGCTGAGAGAACAGGAAGCGAGGGCAAGCCACCTCGGATCATTTCTATGGTACAATCAGGATTCTGGGGGTGGGGAGGATAGTGTTTTTCAGAGTGTGGGCTTCTTTCTGAGAACTTACTTCCCACTCTGTTCCCCAACATTTCTTTAGGGTAGTTTGTCAGTCCAAACAGTCTGAGCCACGTGCTCTAAGACAGACAAATGAAGCAGCCACAGTCAGGGTACAGATATGTAACACAGCACACCAGACCGAAAAGAGATTACAGCAGACAGGTTGATAAAAATAGTGACTGAGAAAGGAAAAAGTGAACAGTTTGCAGAAAGGAAGAAAGAGAGATGAGCAGCTGGGGGATGAAACACAGGGAGCTGGTATGTGATATGGAAACCTTGCCTTCTCAGCTCGCAAAAGGAAGATACAGGAGAATGGCACGGATATGCCCGTCCTTGGCTGGGGAAGACTCTTGGACAAGTACATTGTTGTGCTTGTGTGCCATCAAGTGGAACTGACCCATAGCTGGCCCTCCAGGGGGTTTTTAGAGGCAGTGAATCACACAGGCTAAGATCACCCACCTTTCTCCTGCAGAGCAGCTGGGGGATTTAAATGATGTGCCTTTGGTTTAGCAGCACAGCTCCTTACCACTAGGCCAACAGAGCTCTAGTTGTTGCTGTTAGCTGCCATCGAGGCGAATACTTACTTACCCATAGCGACCTTATGAACAACTGTTCTGAATTCTGTCCTATCCCCTGCCATCTTCACAATCTCCGACATACTCAAGCTCACTGCTGTAGTCGCTATATAAGTAATGCTAAAAACACTCTCAAAACATTAATAGGTAAGGCAAAAAAAAACTCATTGCCATCAAGTCTGAACTGATTGGTAACTGACTATAGCAGTTTCTCAGGGGCTGTAAATTACACAGAAGACTGCCCATTCTCCCAAGCAGCAGCTAGTGGATTCGAACCACTCATCTTTGAGTTGGCAACATAACCCCTTACCCACTCAACCACCAGAGCAGTCCTAGTGCGTTACATTGTTCTGTGTCATCAAGTCTATTCCAACTCATGTTGTTGTTGTTGTAGTGTACACCACAGAGTCGGAACCGACCCATAACTGACCCTCCAGTGGATTTTTAGAGGCAGTTAATTGCACAGGAGGAAAGTACCCATCCTTCTCCTGAAGAATAGCTGGTGGATTCGAACCATGTGCCTTACTCACAGCGACCCTACATGAAAGAATAGAACTGCCCCACAAGGTGTCCTAGGCTGAAATCTTTAAAGGAGCAGATTGCCAGGACTTTCCACCTTGAAGCTGGTAGTGGGCTTGAACTATACAACTTTTGGTTAGAAGTCAAACTGTTAACCACTGTGCTACCAGATCTCATGAATTTTAGTAAGACTTGCCCACCATTCAGAGGAGGTAAAAAGGAACACAGCACTGGAGGCTAAGCAGGTCTATCTAATTTTGGAGAGGACTAAAAAGTGCAGAAGAGTTTAACAGCCCATTTTTGACATTTTAACACATAAAAGAAATACATAAGGGAATTCACCATTGTAAGCAACACTTTCCACACAGATACAAAAATCCCTCTTAAACAGAAATTGCCCTGGAACATTTATAAGGTTTAAGTGAGGTGGCCTAGTGGTAAGAAGCTTTGCTGCAATCCCAAAAGCAGGCAGTTTGAATCCACCAGCTGTTCCAAGGGAGAAGGATGGACAATCTCCTCCCATGTTATTAACTGTCTCAGAAAACTCACTGGAGGGTCTGCTATAGATCAGTTCTAACTTGATGGCACACAACAACAATAAGAGATGAGGAGTCCATCTTAAAGACTGACAATTGCTGTGCAATCAGAACCTTCTCACAGCTGACGCTTCAGTGGGTTTTCAGAGGCTGTAAATCGCACAGGGAGCGATTGCCCATCTTTCTCCTGAGGAGCATCTAGTAGATTTGAACCATGTGCCTCGGGTTTGTATCACAACTCCTTAACCACTAGGCCACCACAGCTCAAAGTGAAAAGTAAGAATTTTAAACCAAAAAAGGTAAAAGAACAAAATTTTTTGTACAACACTGTAACTGATGCAATGCTTCAGAAACCTGAAAAGATGTAACAAAATCTAAAAGCATAGGCCCTGAGGAAATGGTAAATACTCCCAAAATGCTGGCGGAAAGAGAGAGAGGATGAACTGTGTGTACCTATGAATGTTATCCTTCTGGCAAAGGGATTTCTTTATTCTGTTAATGAGCCATGCCAGAGTAGAGTAGGTCCTAAATAAAATTACTTCTGTTGCTGTTGTTGTTGTTGTTATGTGCTGTCGAGTCGCTTGCGACTCATAGCGACCCTGTGTACAACAGCCCTAAACTCCGCTCTGTCTTGTGCCAATCTCACTGTCTCTGACACTCCCATCCCAATTATTCCAGCCACTGAATCAATCCACCTCATAGAGGGCCTTCCTCCCCTGCACTGTCCCTCCACACTCCCAAGCATGATGTCCCTCGCTAAGGACCTGTCTCTCCTCACAACATGTCCAAAGTATGTTAGACGGAGCCTCAGAATCCTTGCCTCCAAGGAGCCACCCAGTTTAACCATTTCCAGGACAAATCTGTTTGTTTTCCTAGCAGTCCATGGTATTCTCAATACTCTTCTCCAGCACCACAGCTCAAAGGCATCAATTCT